ATTTTATTAATTATCAATTATTTTTAATAATAAAACTAAACAAAATTAAGTAATCTTAACAAAATAATAAGTATTCAAGACCAGACCCCTTAATCCTATCACCATGCAAGATATCCTCCAAATATGATCAACATAAATAAAACTTCCATTGGCCCCGTCTGCAGTCTTATTATCAATACTTATTAAATTTTATTGCCATTAAGACCTAAAATGCCTTAGAGCTCAAAGATTTAGACCACAGATGGACTAAAATATTTTTTAGTATCTAACGTCACTTTTTACGATTATTTGAGTGATTTTTATTTTAAAATTTAAAAATTATCTATAAAATTCTATTATTTAGGTTCATATCTTTTTTCTTTTTTTTTTCAGTCTCAGATTCATTATCTCGTATTATCTCTTCACTCAATTTAAACACATATTCTCAATTCTTTTCCAACCCATTGTCCTCATCTCTCCACAAAACAACTCATTACCATTTCAATTCTTTTTCACTAATTTCCACCAATGAAATTCAATTTTATTCAGCTGATCAATTCAGCCATTATCATTATCTTTATCATTCTCAATATCATCTGTTAATTCAATTGAAATTTAAGTTTTCTTATCTTTTACACTAATATCTTTTTGTTCAAATTATCATTTTTTCCTATTAATTTAAATTCGAATTTCGATCAATATCTTTCATATCTATTTGCATAAATTCGTTTCACTAAATATTGATAATGGCTAAACCCTACATTAATCTCTAAACTTATCTAAAATTATTCATTAAGTCCCTAATTTTTTTTTGAAACAAATAAACCCCTAAACTTGGTGATTTGAACAATTTAACCATTTCCTTACTATGGACTTAACATTTGTTTGTGTTTTACTTGTGTGAACAAGGTTATTATCTCTCATATAAGCAATGACATATCAATACCTTATTATGCAACTAAGGCACAAATGAATATTAAGTCTACTGTAAAGAAAGATAGTTATATTTTCTAAATTATCAAGTTCAAAGACTTATTTACTTTAATAAAAATTTAAAAGCTTAATCCAGAATCTAAAGTTAAGGGGGTTAATGTAGGGTTTTGGCTTGATAAATTAGGGTTGTTGCATTTGGATATCTATTTAGGAGAATTAGCATTTATGTTAACCATTTAAATAATTTAATAGGAATTTTCTTTTAGTGAAATAAGAGATTGTGAATTAAAGTCACATGACATACAAATAAAATGAATTGAGAAATGAGAGAGAGTTGCCTCCCACTATATAACCCAAGATAAAAATAAAAATAAAAATAAACTAGTATTTATTGAATATTGAATTGTTAGTATGTTTTTTGTTTCAATTATCAATCAATGCCTATCCATAACTCATTGCCTACCTACTAAATTTAAAAGGACTACAATGTTATTGGTGATCGTATAACTGATTAATTTTTTATTTTTTAACTTAAATTTTAAAATATGATCTTATATGAGATTTCACGATTAGCCAAAGAGAAAGATTAAATAAATTTAAATTAAAAATATCTCTTTTATCAATAAGACAAAATAAATCAAATTTAAAATCCTACTCAAATGTAATTTAAATCTTATAACACAAAAAATTAGCCACCGACCACCATCAACCCTAGCTGCAGAAAGTTGAAAGAAGACAGGGAGAGCATCTGAGCGGAAAGTCAGAGAAGCAGGGCAGGGCCATGGACACTCACCTATTGTGAAAAAGACCGTTATTTGTGGAAGAATTGAAAGCAATTTACCACATGATCCATATTTCCAACTGAGGCAGACTTTGGAAATGTGTCTGTTGCCATACGATTTTTATGGCTTTTATTTTCAGAAGTCTTACTCTTTGCAACTATTTTAAAAGTGACAGGGAGATATTGATAGCAATTGAATTGCATTCTTTGAATTAATGTTACATTCCTTTAAAAAAACCCCCACAAGCATCAAAACTCTCAAAAACCCAATTTATAAATATAAAATTACAAATATAAATACCAAGAAACTAACCAACTTATGCCAGTATAAACAAAGTAATAGAATTAAATAACATCTTACCCACAGCTTTCTTGGGAAAAGTTGAAACTACAAGGAAAGTTATGAAAGTTTTAGGAAAAAAAAAATGTTATGTAGTCCAAACTATATAACATAAACTGTTGAAGGACCTATGTCATATTGGAGGTTGCCCCATCCAGTATTCGTCTTTCAAAATTTAGATTATACCAAACTAAAATACAAAGAACTCTTCCTTAAATTTAAATTACATTTTGTAGGCAAAAAGGTTGTGCAATTCAAACTATAAGACTAAAATACTTTGATGGTTTGGTAAAACTCTTAATATTGATGGAATTCCCAACCAATGATTATTATTATTATTATTATTATTTTACAATAAAAAATGATTAAGTAAGTGTTAGTATTTGTTGTGCTGTGAAAGGATCGAACCTCAAAAGTGGGTGCAGTCCACTTGCTGTCCAAGGGGTAACGTGGCCATCATTGGGCCACATAAGGGTCTGCATGATTATTCTTATTTTATAATCCAAATAATATAGTTACTAATGGAAAGGACAAGGCAAAACCTTATGTTAAGCTCCCAAACTTACCCCAAATTCTTGATTAAACCCCTAACTTTTTATTGAAACAAATTAACTCCTAAAGTTAACAATCCAAGCAATTTAACTTTTTCCTTTACAACAGACTTAGCACTCGTTTATGCCTCACTTGTATAGATAAAGTATTAACACGTCATTGTTTACGTAGAGGGTATTGACTTTGTTCACACAAGTGAGACACAAATGGGTGTTAAGTCTATTGTTAGAAAAAAAAAAAATTAAATAGCATATACTACCAAGTTTAGGAGGTTTATTTGCTTCAATAAAAATTTAAGAGTTTAATTGAGAATCCATGATAAGTTTAGGTGCTTAATGTAAGGTTTTGCCAAAGGAAAATACAACTCTATTAACACATATTAATGAAGCATATTTCTCGGTGCATTAACATCCTAAGTCAATGCAAAAACTCAAAGCTATATGCTAATTATCAATGGAGCAAATGCCAAAAAGTATTACTCCTATATATATACACCAGTTCCTCCCTAGCGTATACTTAGAAATTCCAGTGATAATTGAAATTCTATTGAATGGCAAATCAATACACTACTCAGAAAATCTAGTGAGAGGCAATCACTCAGCTTCCTCTCTTCAGCCCTTAGTTCCATCTATTGCTGCAGCTCTGGCTCTTGGAAGCCACATCTCCATCAGTCCACCTTCAATAAGTGCCACACCACCACCTCCAGCAGGAGCATCAGAGGCACATTGCTCAGTGCTTGCTCTCTTTTCGAAGGCAGGTTGTTAACCCTACAAGGGACTCAGCATGAGACTCACTCATGTTGCGAAGAATGCTAGACAAATTTGAAACAATGCGTTTCATCAGTTCTTTGCACAACAAATGTGCCGGGCTTGAAATCAAGCAAGCATTTCTTTTATTCTCACTAGCTGCACCACCCGCTCTGCCGGTGTAGTACTTGACCCATCTTTGTAATGACTCAAGTTTGAATGGGTTACAATTATTAGGGTTTTATAGAGTAATGAATATAACAGCATGGAAATCTGAATCATGAGTGAAAAATATCAAGTGTTATTATTAGAAACTAACCATGAATCATATCTTAGCTTTCAAAAAAATAAAATTTTTTGAAATGTCCTAAACAAGGAACTTATTTTAATTAAAATTTTATCTTGTCTCCCTCTTTGAAGCTGCAACCACAAGGCACACCATTTTAATGCATTGGGCCATCAATGTATGATATTTTCTTCCTACTTCCAAGTTCAAAACTTGTCCTAAGGGATGGGCAAATCATTCTACTTGTCCTAAACATTGAAAATTGTCAAATGAAAGAAAAGAGACGATTATAACAAATGATTAGTACAGCAATACAAAGGAACCTTAAAATTAAGAAAGCAAAAACCAAAAACCAAGAAAGAAAGGGAGAAATTGCCCAGCTGCAACAAAGAAGCATATTTCAAATCTTTCCATAGCTATGAATTCTAAGACTTAAAAGTTGTTATGTCAATCTAGCAATTCCTTTCAAATTAAATAACTTAGTAGCTGCATTGATTTGCTATGCAAATTCACATTCCAACATAAATACATAACAAAAAACTATAGAAAGTTCAACAAGTTGTCACAGCAAAGTGATGATAAAACAGTAAATCAGTCCTAAAGTAGTGAAGATCACAACCAAAGCCACATCACTGAAATGTTCCCCTCAATAAAGAAATGGTTGTACCAAGCATGTATGTATCTGAACTTTGTAAGTAAGATAATATTGCAACCATAGAAATTAACTAAAATAAGTATGACTGTAAAGATATCCATGTAAAAACACACACATAAAAATAGAAGGCTAAAAAAAGATCATAGAAAAAGTCATACTTCTCTGTCTTGAATTTATAAGCATGTTATCCATGACATGTCCAATTAACAGCAACAAAAATATACTGAGAAAAAAGAGGAGCCCAGAGGGTGCCATATTCACTACACCTAAAGGGAAACCATGACCAGCAAGAAAGAGAATATGGGAGGAAAAGGGATAATGAAAAGTGCCAAGTTAAAAGGAAGAATATTAATAAAATGGAAAAAAAAAATTTTCTCATCTAGCATCAAATATGCATTAACCCAGATATAAATACTTGCAAGATTTTATGAAAGACTAAGAGACATACCTCATTTGACTGTACTTTCAAGCACTCACGAAGTGCCAGATTCTCTTAATTTCTGTGGCAATACACCAAGGCTACGGAAACCTAAAAGTAGACATGGAAAATGCTTTTTCTTAGAGAAAACTCCCCATCTTTGTCAATGTCATGATCAAGCTCAAGCAGTAAGTTGAAATCACAATAATAGAATGGATTGCTAATGATTGGAATAGAAAATTAGCATGATAATTAATTGAAGAAAGAGGCAGGGGCTAATAGACTCCGTTGGTGACCAAAAAGTTATCAGTGTCACTAAAAGCATAAACGTTGCTTCCACTTACAATCACAGCACATACCAATGCAGCCACTGTGCAACTACAAGACAAATAGACAGATTTATATGAGCATGTTAAAAAAAAAAAAAAATTAGCAAGAATTTACATATAGTGCAAATTGCAAAATATGTCTTTATTGGGAATGACTTTGATTTTGAAGAAAGCATGAACCCAAATTCCTAAACTGAGTTTTGTAGTATCATCTATACCAGAATACCATTGGCTAGTTTTCGTTGAAACATAAGCGTAAAAGAATTCCACAAGAATATAGATAATAATTAGTTTGTCCCCTAACAAAAAAACTGATAAGAATAACATGAAGTTCCAACTATCGATTTCAAGAAAATGCGTTCATGTCACAGTTTAACACAAAGACAACACCATTGATCACATAAAACAAACAAAATTTAAATACCTACTTAAGACATTATGAATGCAAAATACCAAGATCTAATGTAAAGGCAGGAGAGATTCTAACCAGTCTATTCTCCATTCCACTCATAGTCTTTCAAAAAATGAGATACAACTGTAGATATACTGAGAAAAAAGAGGAGCCCAGAGGGAGCTATATTCACTACACCTAAAGGGAAACCATGACCAGCAAGAAAGAGAATATGAGAGGAAAAAGAGATAATGAAAAGTGCCAAGTCAAAAGGAAGAATATCAGTAAAATGGAAAAAAAAAAAAAAAATTCTCATCCAGCATCAAATATGCATTTACCCAGATATAAATACTTGCAAGCACAATCATATATCATCAACAATAGCCACAAAATACAAACTTCACAATTACTTGTAGCAACAACAACAAAATTACTTGTAGCAACAACAACAAAAACCTAAAACAAACAAATTTGCATATAACAAAAGTTATTTTCTAAAGCTTCATTTTCATCAAAGTCAACTAGGGTTGGATCCACCAAACCTAGACTCTGGTTGCTTTCATACATAGTCCATGCCTAGAAACATTGTATAAGTGAATCTCTTGCCTGAGGAATGTGTCTATAAAGAAGGAAAAAGGTAAAAGAGTTTCTTTCTTCACCCATTCAAGAAGATAGATCTTGTCATTGTCCTGGCTGTTGTCATAGTTTGGTCTTCCACTAAGGATTTCCAAAGCAACAACACCAAAGCCAAAGACATCTGCCTTCT